ACCGGAAAATGCTTCCATATGTCTGTTGAAGCATTTTTAGATATGTGTATATTTCAATAGATATAGAAAGCGAGCAAGAGAGAAATATTATAAGGCAAATCCAGCACATTGTTCAACAGAGGCAAACCACATGGGTGTTCCTTGCACTGTTCTTTTTTTTTTTTAAGAGAACTTTTTTTTGTTACAGGGCTTGTGTGCTCACCAGAGAGACAGAAAGTGAGAAATCACCGCCCAGGGGGATGGCCACACCGCGATCTCTTCTCCTCCATGCTCCTCTCAGAATCTTGAGCACGCACGCACACAAGGCCGGCACGGAGGAGAAGAGATTGCGGCATGGCCATCCTCCCTGGGGGGTGATTTCTCGCTTTCTGTCTCTCTGTCTCTGTCTGTCTGGCGAGCACATGCGCCCTATAGCAAAAACCTCTCAAAAAAAAAAAAAAAAAGAAGAGGAAGAGGCTCCACATGGAGGATAACGGTAGACCAGGTGATTCTAACAATAGACGGACACACGGGGCGAGTCTACCTGTACGGAACCAAGACTGATGTGCTTTAATAAGGTGTGACACGGTTAAATCTGGACTGCTATAAAAAGTGGCACAAAATAAAAAGCCCATTAACAATTCAAATATATTTTGAGGGTCAGCAGATTACATAGTGGTTAGGGCACTGGACTCACACATGGTGGATCATAGTTCAAGTCCCAGACCCAGATGCTTAAAGCTCATAGCAGATGCTGTGTATATGTATGTGCCCAGGGTCCCAGGAGGAGAATGGAGGAGAGAGGCTTGCAGTATGGCCATCTCCCAAGGGCATGATTCCTCTCTCTCGCCATCTCTCTCTGGCAAGCACACATGCTCTATGGCAAAAACCTAGCAACAACAAAATATACATATATATACGCGTATGTATATATATGTATATGTGTGTATATATGTGTGTGTGTGTATATATATATAGAGAGAGAGAGTCAGAATGGGTGTGGAATAGAGGAAGCATTGCAAAGCAGAAGAGAAAGTTTATTAAGTAAATTATATAAGAACAATTAATGCTCCATATAAAAAATTAAAATTAGATTATTTCTTTAAGCCATGCACAATAATATATTTCAAATAAATTAAAGAGCGAACCATGAAAAATGCAACTACATTAAAACTGAAAAAAATTAAAATTTTTCTTAAACAAGGTAGAAAAACCAAACACACAGAAAGGAAGACCATTACATCTGATAATATCATGTTTCGAAAATTCTGCACAGCAAAGGGTACCGCGAGATCTAAGATAAGCAGCAACGAGCGGAGCCGGTGTGACGCATGGGACAGCCAAGTGATTAACACGCAGAAAAAAACGCATGTCAAAATAACCCAACAAGACACCGATGAAATGTATATCATGGGAAAAATAAACCTGTCTGGCAAGTATAGGGACAATACTGGGCCCTCGGAAAAGTCCTGACACACTTTTGCCTAAAATAAACAAATGACTGAGAGATCGTTTATGATGACCCAAGAGCTGTCCTTGGTTGTAATTATGAACCCACGACCTAAAACATTCAGATACTATTTGACACCCCTCCAACTGCTAACAGCTGGAGAGGTCGAACAATATCAAGGATCACAAGTACGTAGGGGAAGAAATATGTCCACACCCCATCGGCAGAGAGCAACTTAGAAACATTCAATAAAATCGTTCTGTGCACAGAGCTGGTGTGGATTATCTACCTTTAAATACATATGTCTAAAACACAGCACAATTCTAATATTTGTTCAGTCAGGTTGTTGGCTCCATGAATGCTTGTCATAGTAATCTTAGATCTTAAAAATTATTTTTAGAATATCCAAAAACTATTTTTTCCCCAAAACTCACCAACTACTCTGTGTGCAAAAAATAGTGGTTCTGGGTTCTCGTCCCAGTGTCTTGGGTCAGCGGCTCACACTTGGGAGGTGGGACATCACAGGGTGACAGGGCAGAGACTGCCCTGTGTCCTTCAAGGCCTCCCAGACACACCCTGGGGTGACTGGGCTTGTCTCCCACTCCCAGGTCATCTGGTAGGAGGTTATACTAGATAATCCCTCAGTCCCTTTCACAGATCAATAAAGCCCAGCATTTTATTTATTTTAGAGATCTTTGCTAAAGGGCATGTGTACTCACCAGAGAGACAGAGAAAGTGAGAAATCACCCCCTGCCTCCAGGAGGAATGGCCACACCGCAATCTCTTCTCCCTCATTCTCCTCTGGGGATCTTGGGCACACACTCGCACATGTACCCAACATGAATCTCAAGTCACTGGGTCTGGGACTCGAACTGCAGTCAGTCACATGGGAGTCTAGCACCTTAATTACTATGCCTCCTGCTGGTCCCCTGACATTTTCTTAACTTACTTTCAAGAAGCTGTCATTTGTTGTTGCTGTTGTTCACAGAAATGCATTTACTGGAATTAGGATATCTATGCTCATTTTGAAAGATTCTAGTACAGAGAAACTAAATGAGGCTCTGTTTCAGTCTGTCGTGCTAATAACAGGAACACCTTAGCCTGGATGGTTTATAAGGATATAGATGAAACCAGCTCATGATTTAGATCAAAGTCCATGGGCTATTCTGGCAAGGGTCTTCTTGCCTCTGAGGACTCCCCTAGAGCGGCTGTAACCGTTAGATATTAGGAAACCAGCTGATCCTACCTTTCTACAGAGTTCTGAGGTGACACAGGGCATTCTGTGCTGAGTCCGGGTCTGGGTCTGTGTTAGCGTCTCATTCTCTCTCCTTATTAACCCACCAGGATTTGATCATGAGCCCATACCACAATGAACTGAATCCCAATGCCGCCCAGAAGCCCCGCCTCTTCACCCCATAGTTAAGAGTAATTTTCTCTTACTCCTGGCACAACAAAATTTCATCGCATGAATTTGGGGAGGACTTGTTCAAATCACAGTATGCTCAAGAATCCTACTGCCTAAAAAGAGTAAGGGGTACTAGTGAGCATTTGCTCTGTTTCTTTCCATTCCATTTTTGGACAGTAAGTTTATACCAACCGTAACTATATAACTTCGACTCTTAGCCATCACGTTGTTGCTTCTGTCCACATCAGTTCATAGCAAGTCATGTCTTCCCTCCAAACAGATTAGATATTGTTAATGTTAGAGTGCAATTAATTTAGCCAAATTCCTACCAAAAGTCACTTGTTTCTGGTTTTTCCTACAGTTTCAACAGCGCAGAATAACATCCTATTAAATATTTGCGGGGGTGGGGGGAGGGACTCTTACCCTGTTATTTAATTAAGGTAAGTTTCTCGAGATGGAATTCCTGGATCAAATATGAATATGTATAATATAAATATTATGTAGCTTACATTTTGCTACATAATGCCAACTCCAGAAGATTGGATCACCTCATTCCCTAAGACCGGACAGTTCCTGCTACTGTGAGTACTGCTAAGTGCTATGAATGCGGTGACAGATGGACCTCTCGACCTCTCGGCACACCCAAGATCTAAGTGGATCGCCATCCCAACTCACAGATAAGCACACGGAGCACAGAGACGATGAGTAACTTGCTCAGATTCTCGGGCGCAATCCCAGCAGAGCAAGGATTAACGTTCAGGGAGGTCCGAACCTCTCATCAGGGTGGGCTCTCACAGTAGCCGAGAGCTGGCACTCTGGCCAGCTAGGTCAAACCTCGTCCATAAAAGACACCTGCAGTGGCGTTTCACAGAGTCGTGGAGATTAACAAGCTCCTGGAAAAGCTCCACAGAGCACCCCGTTCAAACGTGCTAGGTGCTCTTATTTCTTTGTGAGTTGGAGCATTTTAAAGGTTTATTGTCGTAATTCTTCAATGAACTGCCTGTTTATGTCATTTGTGCATTTATGTTGGTTTTCTTAACTTTAACTCTCTGCCCGCCCCTTAGTACAGACTTATTTATGTTCGGAGGTGGATCAAAAGCAGGAACAAGGCTCAGAGCTTCCCTTACCTCCGCCCCTCCCTGCAGGCGCACTTTGCTTTTCACTGCCCTCCACACCCATGAGTGTTACTGGCCCTTACCGCCACCCGTAGGGCCCACTTCCCTGTGTAGACTGGTAGGTGCTGTGGTCGTCCATCTGTCGAACACGCCGACTCCCAGAAGTCAAGGATTCTGCTACTCCCTGCTTAGTGCAGGCTCCGACTGGAGTCCTGCCCACGAGGATAACTTAGTCGGTGTCCAGGATAAGGGCGACTGCTCCAGACACAGACTGTATCTAGAGTCAGGCTTCGAGTGTTAGCCCAGGGCCAGTTCTGGGAAAGGGCATCTTTGTGTATACGAGGGGTGTCTGTCGCCTCTTTAAGACATAAAGTCAAAGGGAACTTAGCAACATTGGAAGTCTCCCATCTCCATCTGCTCTAATGAAATCTCCCTGTGCCTCTGCCACACCGGGCTTCTGCTTCTCTGGATTTCTGTTTCTCCCTTGCCATTGTAGTTTTTGTTTGTTTAATCTGCTGATCTCTGGCTCTTTCCCCTTTTCCTTCTTTCACGCACAGCATTAAAGGTGCTTTTAGAAAACAAAGACACCCTGGGTGACAGTCCATTTCACAGTGGTAGCGCCAGTTCATTCACTGCACGGCCGCGCTGCACGAATACATCTTCTCATCCTATGTAATTATTTTGACTTTACCTAAGTAAATATACCTGGATTCTCTCACGATCCCAAAAAGTTAACATAATTATCTCCCATCTCATTTGTTGATAAACTTATACATGGAGAGCGTCAGAATCTTGTTCTAGTTTGTCACTTGTGGAGCTTAAACCCAGGCTTCTCCAGATCCCACCCGGGAGGCTTCCTGACCCTTCCCTTCTCCCTCAGCCCCGGAGCATCTGTAAGTTGCAGCTGAAATGAAACAAGACCATCGCTCAGCGCTTGGTGGAACTGAGAAGAGCCACCTGTCTAAAAAGACAGACTTCAGGATCAAGTCTCTGTGGGCTGCTGACCCCCAGTCTCTCCAGGGACCACCAAATTTTCCCGCTCCCCACTCACCCAGGAGGAAGAGGAGGGCTCCCAGTCTGCTGCCCCCTGAGCCCATGCTGACCCGCTGCTCCGAGCTCCTTGCAGGGCTGGCACAGTGAGCCTTGTGACCCGGCTCCAGGGACAGGAGCCCAGCCCCACGTGACTGACAGGAGAGGAAGCCACTGCCCCAGCTGGGAGGCTGCTCAGTTCCTCTCGGCCCTCACTGAGGGCAGGGCTAGGGAAGCCCCTGTGGTCCCAGCCTTGTCAGGGCAAAGCAGGGGAGCTAGCCTGGGCCAGTGCTGGGCATGGCCCCCACGGTGATCTGCTGTGATCGCCAACAGAGCACAGGAACTAACCTGCTGGGGTGCAGTTTCTTGCCCAAATACCCACGCTGGCATGCTCAGGGGCGTTGTGGGCAAAGCTGGTCAGCTCTGAAGCCGAGCCCTGGCAGCAGCATCCCTGAGCTGGGGTGGGGTCAGCATTCGTCCCTCCAACCCACAGCTCAGCCAGTCTCTGCTTCTACTCCTTGGAGCCCTGAAAGTGGGGAGAGGCCCACGCCCTCTTTTCAGAGCTCTACCAACAGGATGGCGGTGGTAATACTGAAACATTGTCGAATATCTTTCCACCACTGAAAGACATACGATTTTAAACATAACAATTTGCCCACATAGGAAACTTACTATATTGTACAATAAGTAGTGGCATTTTTTCTTCAAGCTTTTTCTTCCTGAACACATTTCTTTTTAAAGTGTTGGGGGGGGGCGCTTGTGCAAGTGAAATGGATGTGCCTCTGCCCACAGGTGGCAAGGTCTAGCGGAGGGGGAACAGCTGGCACGCCCACGACATGGCGATGAACCGTAAGGACACTCAGAGGCATGTGTGCCCGCTGCAGCAGGTGAATGTCCCTGTTCTGTGGTACCCAGTCGCCCCAGGGGCAGCATCAGTGTGGTTTCTCTGCACTCCTGTGCGCAGAAGTGCTGAGCTTCCGTTACAGGTTAGAGAAGAGATACGGCCTTTTCTTATCTAACCCAGGTCAAGCCCCTGCCCTAGAGGAACCTGGGCTGTCCACACAGGCCCGGCCAGCAGCCTGCGGCCTCCTGTACTTCTCCTTTACGAATGCATGTGTCATACTGCTTAACTTCTAGTGTGCAAGAAACAGATTTTTTTTTTTTGAGACGTTTTTGCTATAGGGCACATGCACTCGCAGGAATGAGAGAGACAGAGAGCGAGAAATCAGACCCTGAGGAGATGGCCATTCCGCAATCCCTTCTCCTCTATTCTCCTCTTGGGATCTTGGACACATACGCACACCCAGCGTGAGTTTAAGCCACAGGGCCCGGGACTTGAACCATGGTCGGCTACATGGGAGTCCAGTGACACAGCGATTACACTAACTGTTGGTCCCAAAACAGCACTTTTAAAATATAAATCAACCTTGAGCCTTCATCCACTGAGCTGGCCCAAACTACGTTTTCCATTCTTGGGCCCCTGATCAAATCTCTAAGAGGAGCAGTCAGCCCAGTGAGTATGTATCCGGGGACATGCATGTGACCCCCAGGAACCCCCCGCACTGGCTACCAATGCTGGGCTGGCAGTCCTTAGGCAGGGAGGGAAACTAAACCACAGGGCAGGCGTGGGTGGCATGCCCAAGCCTACTCGTGGTGAGAGAGAACTGGGCGCCGCAGCCGGACCCACATGCTGCAGGGGCCCTCGGTGCACACGCACCCCCCACGCCCCCACTGAGGTCCTGTTGCCCATTCAGTGGCCGCCAGGCTACCCTGTGGACACCTGTGCTCTTCTGAGGACTGGGTAAGTAACCCGTGAGCCGGTGAGGCTGGTCCTGGAAACAGCAGCTGGCTTCACTCCGGGGCCATGCTCCATACCCCACCGGCCATATGGCTTTGTGCTTGACCGGATTGAGCTCTATACTGCCCTGTGCCAGGAAACACCCTCTCCCTCTCGCTTCTCATGAAATGTGTGGACTCATAAAACATTTCCCCAACTAATGAGGACATGTGTGTGAGAAATAGTTCACCTTCCTCTGAGCCACGGTGAGAAGATGCCCTTATAGACAGACAGTCCCAGGCAGGGCCTGGGACCCAAAAAGCCACATTCGCACTGGGCCCAAGCAGCTCTATGTGCATGTGAACTCACTCCATTTCAAACTCAGCAACTCATTTAAAAATGTTTCTTGATGGGGTGAATCGAAGCGAACCACGCAAATCTCTTCCACAGAACACTCTCGAAACCCTCTGCAGGAGCTTGACCCAACGGGTTGCACACTGGTAAGGAAGTGTCTGCCGCAGCTTCCGCTTTCACCTGCCACCACCGCGGAGTCACGCAAACTGCTACCTGCCTGAACCGAGGAGAAGCAGGGACTCCACGTGCCCGAACAACGAGACTGTCACAGGGCAACCCGACACTGGCACTGGCACGGTGCCTCCTGGGACGACACGACGCCCACCACAACCGCGGCTGGTCTGAGGCTGCACCTGACCTGGGACCTGTGAGGGAAGGCACAGAGCCCGAGCCCGACCCGCGTAGGCGCCCAGGGTGCTCGATAGGTGCAGGCGTCTTCCGGCTCCCTCAGCTCACAGCAGGCACAGCGGCCCAGCCTCCTGCCCTCCCTCCGGGCCAGCAGAATACTGTGGATCCAGCCTGTGGTCCGGGAGGTCCCCACACTGTCAGGGCATGGGAAGGAGCCCGATCCAGCAGCTGCTCTGAGAGGTGGGTCCAGGGCTGTCTGCTGGGGGTCTTCTACCCTCCCTCAGCACCAGCACAGAGCCACAGAATTCACATCGTGTGTGTGTTTCCGTGCAAACGGGAGAAGCTATCAAACCCTCTGTCATTATGGAAGACAGAGACGACCTGACACACAGGCTGGTGCATTGGCCTTGCAGAGAACCCTGCACCTAGCAGCTAGAAAATAGCCACTCTTCTGCCGGGGGCATACAACATTAAACAAAAAGATGACCACATAGTGGGCCACCACAGAAGGGTCCAAATTTCAAAGGCTAGGTGGCAGGCCACATTTCTTACCTTGGTGTACCAGAATTAGGTGACAGTAACAAAAATATGTGGTTAAATTTTCACAGACTTGAAAATTCATAGGCATTTCCAAGTAACTCATAGATCTGAGAAAAGAATTACAGTGAAAGTTTTAAATAGCTAGAACTGAATGATAATGAAAATGCAGACCGGATTCTGCAAACACAAGCGAAGTAATCATAGAAGGAAATGTACCCGTTCGAACACTCAGAAAAGGAGAACTGAAAAAGGAACGAGCTCAGCGACCATTAGGGAGGTTTGGAGAAGAGTAACCCCATAAAAAGACAGAATAAAGGTAATAGTCAACATGAGAGCAGAAACGAATGAACCAGGAAACAAAGATACCAGGGAGGATCTATTAAAAAACGAACAGCGTGACAAATTCCTCACAGAACAGATTTCAAAGTGAGCGATAAGAAAAACAGAAATAATATCAGGAATAAGAAGGAGACGTAAGTGCAGAGAAGGTAGCATCAGCGGCATTATTAATGTATTAATAACCTTGTACCAATACATTTGACAATCAGCGAGACAGACACAATGTCAAGGAAGTCGCTGGCACAAGATGAGCAAACCAGAGAGTTCAAAAAGCCCTATTATAATATCTGTTGAAAAAGATCAGGTCGTTAAACACTTTGCCATGATGAAAATACCAGGCCATATAGTTTTATAGAATTTTAAGAAAATTATATAAATTTTAAGGACTAGAAAGTTCCAATATAAATAAAGTACTTCAGATAATATCCAAAGAAGGCATATTCTCCAACTCAGACTATAAAAACCAGACAAGAAGACAGTGAGAAAATTAAAGTGGAGCCAGTCATTCATGCACATAGAAGCCAAGATACCAAAAAAAGTTTAACAAATCAAATCTAGCTATATATATATATCTAACCATCATAATCAAGTCCTTCAATTCCTTAATGGGATAAACATTAAAAAATAAGGGACCAGCAGTTAGCGTAGTGGCTATGTCACTGGACTCCCACGTAGTCGACCACGGTTCACGTCCCAGACCCGGTGGCTTAAAACTCATGCCGGGTGCGTGTGCATGCGTGCCCAAGATCCCGAGAGGAGAATGGAGGAGAAGGGATTGTGGCGTGACCATCCCCCCTGGGGGGTGATTTCTCGCTTTCTGACTCTCTGTCTCTGTCTGTCTGGCGAGCGCACGCGCCCTATAGCAAAAACCTCTCTAAAAAAAAAGAAAGAAAAATAATAGTAATAAATTATCTCCATAGATACAGGACAACTGATAAAGCTTATCATCCACCCATGATAAAAACTCCTGATAAACTAGGAATAGACAAGAACTTTCTTAAACCAGCAAAATGATACCTACCAGGACGTGAGAGCGAACACCACTATTATGGTGAATGGCAGAGAATCTCCTTAACACCAGGAACAAGACAAGACGTCTTTCATCCGCTGTTCTAGCCCAGTCTAAGTAGTGCCAATTTTCTTTTATTTTTTTTTAAGAATGTAAACAACGAGGATGGGATGGAATAACCCTATATTTATATAGGTGTGTTTTCCTACATAAAAAGCCTCTAAAAATTCCAAGATTAATTGTTAAAAATAATAATATGGATGAATACAAATTCGATACTTTGAAAATCAATTGAAAGGGCCAGCAGGTGGCACGGTGGTTAAGGCACTGGACTCCCACATGGTCAATCGTGGTTTGAGTCCTGGACCTGATGGCTTTCTTTCTCACTTTCCCTCTCTTTCTCTCTCCTTCTCTATGGTCAAATTTTTTAAAATGATAAATAAAATTAAATAATTTTTTAAATATTCAGTTGAATTTCTAGTGCCAATAACAAACTGAAAACATAAATACATATATATATATATATAAATATACGTAAATATGTACATATATTTTCATTTTAGAAAGAGAGTTGTTGCTATAGGGAGTTATGGAGAGCATACGCACAAGAGAGACAGAGAGAGAGAAAGTGAGAAATCGCCCGCAGGGGGATGGCCATGCTACAATCCCTTCCCCTCCATTCTCCTCTTGAGAATTTGGGCATGTACACACACGCACACACACACACCAGTGTGAGATT